CACTGCTATGCCGATGATACACAATTATATATTTCAGCTAAACCAGAGGACAAAACTGAACTTAATAAGATAGAGGACTGTGTGAAAGACATTAAAGACTGGATGTCAAGCAAGGTCCTTTTACTAAATTCAGACAAAACCGAAGTCCTTCTTCTTGGTCCAAAAGCTGCTAGGGATAATCTGCCTATGTTTACTCTTAATCTCGATAGTTTCTCAATTGCACCAGGCACATCTGTAAAAAGTCTTGGCTTGGTTGGTCAGGGGGAAGAGCCTTTTCATACAAAGCCCCCCAGCTTTGGAATAACCTACCAGTCTGTGTTCGGGACTCAGACACAGCCTCCATAGCCGTCTAGGCTAAAAACTTACCTGTTTAGTCGAGCCTTTGGTTAATTTGTTTTCCTAACTATGTCCCTCTTCTCAGACGAAGAAGCGTGATTGGTCACTCCAGAGAACACGTCTCCACTGCTCTAGAGTCCAGTGGCGGCGCTTTACACCACTGCATTCGACGCTTTGTGTTGCACTTGGTGATGTAAGGCTTGGATACAGCTGCTCGGCCATGGAGACCCATTCCATGAAGCTTTCTACACTGTTCTTGAGCTAATCTGAAGGCCACATGAAGTTTGGAGGTCTGTAATGATTGACTCTGCAGAAAGTTGGTGACCTCTGCGCACTCTGCGCCTCAGCATCCGCTGACCCCGCTCTGTCATTTTATGTGGCCGACCACTTCGTGGCTGAGTTACTGTCATTCCCAATCGCTCCCACTTTGTTATAATACCACTGACAGTTGACTGTGGAATATTTAGTAGTGAGAAAATTTCATGACTGGACTTGTTGCACAGGTGGCATCCTATCGCCACGCTGGAATTCACTGAGCTCCTGAGAGCGACCCATTCTTTCACAAATGTTTGTAGAAGTAGTCTGCATGCCTAGGTGCTTGGTTTTATAAACCTGTGGCCATGGAAGTGATTGGAACACCTGAATTCAATGATTTGGATGAGTGAGTGAATACTTTTGGAAATATAGTGTAGTTGTCTCTATTGTCCAGGTTGAAGCACATTGGAACAACTGCAGTGCTCAGAGAGATGTTGTATATGTCTGTGAGAACATCAGCCAGCTGTTCAGCGTGTGTAGAGTCCTCCGCACATCAGCTGTGGACAGACACAGTACCTGTTCATTTGGAGGAGGTGTGGTTTTCCTTGCCGCTGTGCCGTTCTTTGCTTCAAACCGAGCATAGAGGTTATTCAGTGCATCTGGAAGGGAGGCATCACTGTGACAAACAGGTGGAGATGTCTTGTAGTTGGTGATGGCCTGGATGCCCTGCCTCATGCACCATGTGTCAGCAGTGTTTTGAAAATGTTCATGGATTTTCTTTGCATAGGCATGCTTTCCTCTCTGATGGCCTGGGAAAGCTTGGCTTTTGCAGTTCTGAGGCCTGGCTCCTGGCAGCCAGGTTCTTACATGCTTCTTGTCTGGTTTGGCATGTCTGATGAGCATCACAGAGATGTGATCAGAGTAACCGTAGTAGGGGTCCAGCACATTAGCCCCCCGGGTTGCAAAGTCCACAGAATGGTGGAATTTAGGGAGCGCTGAATTCAAATTAGCATTGTTGAAATCTGCAACAATAAACAGTCCATCTGGGTGCGCGTTTTGGTGATCACTGATGGCGCTGTACAGCTTGTTCAGTGCGACATTAGCATTAGCACTGGGAGCTATGTACACTGCTGCTATGTACACTGTAGTCAGCTCTCTTGGCAAAAAGTAAAAAGAAATCCAGTAAAAATGGATCTTAAAGAATGAGCTAGGCCAAATGCAGTTCATATAGCATAAAGAGTGCCACTGGCCCTAATTCCCACAGTGAAGGATGAACTGCATTGAATGAAAGAATATTGAATAAATGAAAAAATCACTCTACCCACAGACTGGTGCATGCCAAGGATCCCAGTAATGAAACAAAACGTTCAGGTGTGCATTTATGTAGACCTTAAGAGATTGAATGAATGTATGAAATGAGAGATTCATGCTACCTACCACAGAAGCAGTCCTGACTAAACTCTCTGGAGCAAAAGTTATCTCTTCTTTAGACGTGGCCAGTGGCATTTGGTAAATCCCACTTCACACATCATACCTTTTATTTGCCAGATATTTTTTAAATGGCCACTATTTGACATTAGCATTGCTTTAGAAATATTGCAGCAAAAGATGCAGGAGATCCAGGCAGGGAGGGAAGGAATTGAAGTGTATAAGGATGATGTGGTGATGTATTGCTCAAACATGGAGCAACATGATGTTCAATTAAAATGCATCCTGGAGACCATGGAAAGAGTGACACTCAAACTAAACACAGAAAATTATGTCTTTAGGCACAGCCAGCTCTATTTTCTGGGCCAAGTCATTGATGAGCACTTTATGATCTCCTTCAAACACAGTTTTAGCATGGGAACATTCACAAGCGAAAGCATTCCAGAGACTCAAAGGAGCAATCATAACTTCTCCAGTTTCATCCATTATGATGCAGAAAAGCCCAGTGCTGTCTCAGTGGATGCAAGCAAGCTATGAATGAGGGGGGTGTTACTGCAGCTGTATTGGGATGGATGGAAACCTGTGGCCTTTTGTTCTAATGGCTCACAGTATCAGTCTTGGTATGCATAAAACGAAAAAGACTGCGTGGCTGGCTGCTCTTATCGATAACAAGGATCTGGACCCTGTGCCTATTCATTGTCAGAGGCTATTTTTAAGGCTGATGAGATTCAGAGCTCTGGATGAATATGCACCAGGAAAACACTGGTGGTAGGTACAGCAGCGGTGGACAGCAGCACAGAGGAAGATGTAATCTCCCAAGGGATTATGGGAAATGGAGTCCCCTTGTGAGTCAGGCCAGAAGGGTGCGTGACACCACCTTTGCTCATTGACCCTGATATGGCCCCCAGTACACCAGTGAAGCTTTCAAGACCTTCTGCCAAGGATATGACTTTGAACATGTCATATTCAGTCTGCATCACCCTGCAGGAAATTGGCATGAAGAATGGGTTGTTTAGAGAGCAAAGTGAATACTTCTGCAAAAAGATCCGCTGCTGGCTGTTCTGTGTTGCAGGGCAACCCCATCCACTACCCCAGGAGCGAGTCCAGTTGAACTGTTAATGAGGAGAAAGCTGTGAACCACACTACCAACACTGGGTGAGAATCTCCACCCTGAATGGCCAGATGAAAGCATCATCAAACAAAATGATGCAGCAGCTAAAAGGCAGCAAGCTCTCTACTATAATAGATGACGAAGATATAGAGTAGATAATGAAGTTTGTGAATTACCTGCTTTGGAGCCAGGCCATCTGGTGCTGATGAAACTTGATGAACAGAAGCAATGGACAGGCCCAGAAACGGCAGAGAGAGAGGGATACTCAACATTTTACATTTTGCCCTCTGAGGATGGAACAGTGAAAAGAAGAAACCACTGCCACCTACAAACACTTCCCCAGTGTTGGGCCAGTGCCAAGTGAGCATAGCCCATCAGAGGTGAAAATTACACAAACTGGAGACTCACCTATCCTCTTGAGCCCTCTAAGGCTCCAGAGGGAGTTAAGTTACCAGGTCAGGAAGGATTAGTAAACCTACAGAAAGACTGAATTTGTATAATGAAACTTCAGTTTCATTATAGAGTGGGGTAGCAGAACACGCAGTGATTTAGGGTGAACAAGGACAAGATGTTAAGTTCAGAGAAAAAAATGTGCTTCATTATTTCAGCCTCCTTTTTAGAAATATTATTCTATATGACATTGGAAAATACATTTTTCTATGTTACTGTGGAATTTATGGAAGTTAAATTTATTGTTATTGAAGTTTGTACATTCATAAAGTGATAGCAGTAATGTCTGAAGGGAGAGATGTCAGGATGTCTCAATAATGAGAATGTCCAATGACAGACTTGGGCATGAGCAAAAAGAGAGAAAAGGGTTACTCTGCCTAGAAAAGAAACTACACAATGTTATGGTTGTGTTTCAGCTGATTTAATAAAGTTCATGTGAACACAGAATATAATTCATCTGATTTGACAGACCCATTCTTGAGTCACCCACTGGCCCTTCAAAAGCCCATAAAGTGAGCCACAATCATGCTTGGGCAGCAATAAAGGCTAGTCATAAGCATCAGAAGCACGTTTATGATTTGACTGTAAAATTCCAATAGCTTTAAGCTATGACTGGAGACGTAGAGCAGATGCTGCAGCCACAAACATGACTGACAGGGAGCATGGCAGTAGTGTTGCTGATAGTTCCTGTGTTTGTCTGGCCCTGCTAACTTTGACATTCAGGTGACCCACATGATCTTAGGCCTGGAGTAATATTAGAGTTATGATGAGTCGGAATGCAAGCAGATGGACAACAGTTGCCATACAACCAGGTAAAACCAAGTTTAATCTGTTTGCAATATGGCTAAAACTAGACTGTACTGACTAATGTAGAAATGTTAGTGTTCAATGTAGAAAATCTAGTTAATGCAACAAATGTAATGGATATAAGAAGAGACAAATTTGTTCCATTAAAAAAAGGAAAACATTTTATGTTCATATCGAAAATCTGAAGAGGGTGATATCAGTGAGATTTGTGTTCTGTGTTGAAAGTGTTAAAAGAAAAAGTAAAACTGGGTAGAAGAGAAAAGTTTTATGAAGTCATTCATAGTCTAAAAAGACATCCTGTTAACTAAGTAACCAAATAAAGAACTATTATTATTATAGGACAAGGAACTGCTAAAAACTGAGATTCAATTCTCAATTGTTCTCAACATTACACCATCGTTATCCTTCACGTCTAATGTTTTTTATTTTTAATTTTGTAATTTGTTTTAACTTTCAGGTATTCACACATGAACCTGATATTGTACGGGAATCTTATGTCTGTGGAAGTCATTACCAGTTGACAAAGAGATCAGAATACAGAACGGAAACTTGTAACAACAATTCTTAATTTTATTTTTTAAAGAAACTGGGTAGATTAGTAATTGGAACTTACAATGGCTTGCAGTGTTGAGAAGAAGATGCTTAGGCCCTTCTGTGATTGTGGAACTGAAGGTTTAACATTACTGTGGAAGATCTCGTTCAAAGATGACGATAAATCATGAAATGTGGACAAGATGAAATGCACTGTTTCATCTTCAGAGATTCCAAGATCTTTTAGTGTCTCACCATAATTGCTGTAATTATCATCTCTGTTGAAAAGAAAAAAGTTACAGATTACTCATACATTTACTTCATACCACCAAATTTCCTTTCATAAAATCTGCAATGTATTATTTAAAGATTTGCATTTTTAAATTCAATAAAGACAGGTCTGACCATAAACATAAACAACAAAGAATTACTTGGGGTACAACACATGTGCAGGTATTCCACTTTCCAGTGAAAGTCTCGTTCTCAGGTCAGCCAAAGTATTTTCCTCCAGGTCCACTCTGATTTCATAATTCCTCTATTGCAATGAAGAAGAAAGCATATATAAATATGCACACTGTGTAAATATGCATATTGAAATAATTAGTACACTTTGAAATGATCGTTATCAAATAAAAATCAATACACACAATGGACCCTTTCTGAACTAGATGATTTCAGTACTTATTGTTTTAGTGTACTCTACCTTTAGCATAATGTGGCAGCGAATAATATCTGGTCCATCATTTCTAATGTCATTTTGCCTTGGGCATTGAGGAGAATCTCTCAGGTTCTCTTTTGGTGTAAATATGGCATACAGTTTGCTTCCACTATCAATATGCCTGTCCTTCAGTGACCCTGTAAGGATAAAAAAAGGATATGTACAGGACTTTACAGAATATCAGAGTGAGACTATAACAGTGGTAGAGGAAAATGTCTTCAATTCAAAAAACAAATCTGTCTGTAAAAACTATTAAAATATACTCAACATAATTACACACACACACATGGATTAGTTCTGCAATAAAACAAAACACAGTGACAAGGCAACAAAGCATTTAACGAGAGGTGAAACACTGTTGGGACGTGGCACTCACCAAGGGTGCCCTTTGTCCGGCCTCTTGTTCGTTATATCACTAAAACCCCTAGGCCAAGCAATGTGTAAACTGACTTGTAAGTCCTGACATCATATTTCCTTATATGCAGATGGTATTCTGCTATTTAAACAATCTAATAGATTCCATACCACCCCTGCTTAGATTAATTAATGATTTTGGCTTATAAGATAAATTGGGATAAACCTGCTCCTGTCCCATTCAGCACCTATATTGATGGTTTGACATTTTTGCTAGTAGATATATACCCTTTCATGAATAACATAGATAAAACTTAAATAGAGGGCTCACAAAAATTTAAACAGATACCTCTAATTGAACACAATTGCCTACCTCTCTGCAGGCCTGCATCATGGTAGTAAAAATGAATCTTTTACATCAAAGTAACTTTAGTTATATGATCCTTTTACCCCCTCCCATGGAGCAATGGGCTACACTCTGTCAAGTACTATCCTCATATTGTCACGCTTCCCTCCATTCCCGCTGTCACTACTCCCCAGCCTCTGGACTCCATCTCCCAGAACACCTCACCTGATCACATGACCTCTGATCTCCCTCGCATGACTCTCCATCGGACTACTGATTCACATCACCTGTGTATACACGTTTAATATTTTATAATATATATATATATATATATATATATATATATAGACTACATTGCCAAAAATATTTGCTCGTCTGCCTTCACACACATATGAAGTTGAGCGACATCCCATTCTTGATTCATTGGGTTTAATATGATGTCGGCCCACCCTTTGCAGCTATAACAGCTTCAGCTCTTCTGGGAAGGCTTTCCACAAGGTTTAGGAGTGTTTATGGGAATTTTTGACCTTCTTCTAGAAGCGCATTTGTGAGGTCAGACACTGATGTTGGTCGAGAAGGCCTGGCTCACAGTCTCTCCTCTAATTCATCCCAAAGGTGTTCTATCGGGTTGAGGTCAGGACTCTGTGCAGGCCAGTCGAGTTCTTCCACACCAAACTCGCTCATCCATGTCTTTATGGAGTTGCTTTGTGCACTGGTGTGCAGTCATGTTGGAACAGGAAGGGGCCGTCCCCAAACTGTTCCCACAAAGTTGGGAGTATGAAATTGTCCAAAATCTCTTGGTGCTGAAGCATTAAGAGCTCCTTTCACTGGAACTAAGGGGCCGAGCCCAACTCCTGAAAAACAGCCCCACACCATAATCCCCCCTCCACCAAACTTTACACTTGGCACAATGCAGTCAGACAAGTACCGTCTCCTGGCAACCGCCAAACCCAGACTCATCCATCGGATTGCCAGACGGAGAAGAGTGATTCGTCACTCCAGAGAACAGTCTCCACTGCTCTAGAGTCCAGTAGAGTCCACGTCTCCACTGCTCTAGAGTCCATATATATAATATACAGTATCTCACAAAAGTGAGTCCACCCCTCACATTTCTGCAATTATTTTATTATATCTTTGGAACAACACTATTGAACTGAAACTTGGATATTACTTAAAGTAGTCAGTGTACAGCTTGTATAGCAGTATAGATTTACAGTCTTCTGAAAATAACACACAGCCATTAATGTCTAAATAGCTGGTAACACAAGTGAGTATACCTCACAGTGAACATGTCCAAATTGTGCTGAATGTGTCAATATTTTGTGTGACCACCATTATTATCTAGCACTGCCTTAATCCTCTTGGGCATGGAATTCACCAGAGCTGCACAGGTTGCTACTGGAATCCTCTTCCACTCCTCCATGATGACATCACAGAGCTGGTGGATGTTAGACACCTTGCGCTCCTCCTCCTTCCACTTGAGGATGCCCCACAGGTGCTCCATTGGGTTTAGGTCTGGAGACAGTCCATCACCTTTACCTTCAGCAAGATAGTTGTCATCTTGGAGGAGTGTTTGGGGTCATTATCGAGTTGGAAAACTGCCATGTGGCGCAGTTTCCGAAGGGAGGGGATCATGCTCTGCTTCAGAATGTCACAGTACATGTTGGAATTCATGCTTCCCTCAATGAACCGCAGCTCCCCAGTGCTGGCAGCACTCATGCAGCCCCAGACCATGATGCTACCACCACCATGCTTGACTGTAGGCAAGAGACAGTTGTCTTGGTACTCCTCACCAGGGCACCACCACACATGCTGGACACCATCTGAGCCAAACAAGTTTATCTTGGTCTCGTCAGACCGCAGGACATGGTTCCAGTAATCCACGTTCTTGGACTGCTTGTTTTCAGCAAACTGTTTGCAGGCTTTCTTGTGCGTCAGCTTCAGAAGAGGCTTCCTTCTGGGACGACGGCCATGCAGACCGAGTTGATGCATTGTGCGGCGTATGGTCTGAGCACTGACAGGCTGACCTTCCACTTCTTCAACCTCTGCAGCAATGCTGGCAGCACTCATGCGTCTATTTTTTGAAGCCAACCTCTGGATATGACGCTGAACACACATGGACTCAACTTCTTTGGTCAACCCTGGTGAGGCCTGTTCCGAGTGGAACCTGTCCTAGAAAACCACTGTATGACCTTGGCCACTGTGCTATAGGTCAGTTTCAGGGTGTTAACAATCTTCTTATAGCCTAGGCCATCTTTGTGGAGAGCAACAATTCTATTTTTCACATCCTCAGAGAATTCTTTGCTAGGAGGTGCCATGTTGAATATCCAGTGGCCAGTATGAGCGAATTGTACCCAAAACACCAAATTTAACAGCCCTGCTCCCAATTCACACCTGGAACCTTGTAACTCTAATGAGTCACATGACACCAGGAAGTGGCAACGACACAATTGGGCACAATTTGGACACGTTCACTGTGAGGTGTACTCATTTGTGTTGTCAGCTATTTAGACATTGATGGCTGTGTGTTGAGTTATTTTCAGAGGACAGTAAATCTATACTGCTATACAAGCTGAACACTGACTACTTTAAGTTATATCCAAGTTTCATTTCTATAGTGATGTCCCATGAAAAGATATAATAAAATAATTGCAGAAATGTGAGGGGTGTGCTCACTTTTGTGAAATACTGTATATACTATATTTTAATACTATATTTTGTACTTCACTTTAACATTGTAGCTGCTAGAATTACTGTATCAACCAAATATTGTATACTGTATATTGCTGCTCTGGTTGCTACCTCAGAGACTGCTATGCTCATATATACTAGGCTCTCTCATCCTCCTTTGCACAGCTCCACATACTCTCAGTACCGTGTACTGCCTGTGTCAAAGAAAAAAGTCTTCTGTGTGTTCATTGTTTCATGTGACCTATTAGTGTAGTATATAAGCATAGGACCTTGGTGAAGTATTGCCTTTGCTCTCAGAGCCTTACCAAGCCTTCCAGTTAGTTTGTTTGCTTTTCTGTGTATGACCATTTCCTTTTTTATGAGATTTTTTTTTTATGCCACTCTGATGGTGGTCACACATTTTCAAATTGTTAAATATATGCTCAAGCCTTTACCCTTCAACCCATATCAGTTTGACTGATTCCACTCCAACTTCTTGTCATTCATTAAGAGAGTTTCTTGTATGGGTGTAAGTTATATTTTGTGTTGTTCCTACTAGATATTGTAAACTGCACTTTGGGCCTATAATATCACACCTTATAACAACCTGTTCTTTCACAATCATAACCTTTTGACAGGGAATTCCCTGTTCCAATGCATCCAATGGAAGAGGAGAGAAATTCTCATTTCACACAGTTTAATTTGCCTGGCATATCTTTTTTTAGATGGGGCATCGCTAATCTTTAAATTAAATATACACTCAATCCCAACAAACAGCCTTGCTTAGCTTCCAGTATGTATATATTTATTCAATATTTAAGATTATTAAATATTTAATTTCAATATTTTTATATATTTATATATACTTATGTCTTCTTACTCACTGCTTGGAACATGTCAGTCTGGTCTAAAGGTCTTAATTTTGAGGATCAAGAGTTCTTCATGAGCTGTGTTTGGAAAACCATGAATTTATCTTCAAGAAACCCAAATCACCAATAATACACTGAATTTTTTTATACATATTTTAGTAAACACTATTTAGGCCATTTCATGTAAATCTTACCAGTCTCCAATATGTAACTTGTGTGTCAGGAAAGCTTGAAATTTTTCCATTATTTTTGTTCCTGTCTTAACGTCCTTAATTTCTGGCTGTGAAGTTTTTTACGAAAATTTTGCTAAACCCCTTTTTCATTAATCTTTTATTATGTACTACTAACTCACACTAAATCGCATAAATTTTTTATTTTGTTCTTATGTAGCTATCTATTTGCATTTTAGTAATCCACCACCACACTTTGGGAAGGGGGGTCTCCTGTGATTTATGATTACATATGCCAACTTATACACTGACATGCCAAAAGTCATGGGACAGGAACTAGTATGGTGTAGGACACAAACTCTACCATCAGCTCGAAACAATTGGTACTGTGACTGATCGGACAACAACATGTTGCCAGTCCTCTAGGGTCCAGTTTGCAACCCCATGTCTGATGTTGTGGTGTTAACAGAGACACTCTGTTGGGTAGGTCTGGTGGGTCTTCTCCTCCTGTATCCCATGGAAGCTTAAGACCTGCAGGATATGCATGTGGGGCCTCCTGAATTGAATGTGGATGTGACTTCTGCCAGAGTCCCTTGTCTGTTTGCATGGACAGTTCCAGTTAGGTGTCAGTCATAAACATTAAGCAACCATGGGCGGCCACTGCGCTGTCCACTGTGGGTGGTAATGCCTTCTATGAAATATTCCCGGTACACACACGACACTGTGAGTTGAGGAATGTTAAATGCCCGCACATATATCAGAGATATTAGCAGTATTATCATAGTTTTATAGACTTTAAACATCCCCCAGTAAGATAAACGTTTTTTCCTTCAACTTTAGAATTAGGGGGCTTGTTTATGAACAACCAGCCTGAACTCAAAAAGTGCTCAGGCATCGTCAGCTTGCCCCCGTTGTTCCAGTAACCATGAGAAATTCAGCATTTTGTTGTTATTCATGCTCAGCTGTCACTGTGTCTTAAGATGTCTTAAGATGTCTTGACAGTATTTATAAGATGTCTTGAGACATTTTTTTATGCCAAGACGTCTCAAGACTGTCTTAAGACGTATGAGTGAAGACACTGTCTTTGTCTTGAGACATGAAAGTTAACGTCTTAAGACAAAGAAGTAATTATTTTGTGTGTCTTGAAGACGAGGCATGACTTAAGACATCACTTTGTCTTCAGACACAGAGATGTTGTGTCTTAAGACAGTTCAGTTGAGACCAAAGAGTGGTCCATTACAAAGAGTCCTGTGGTATGAGTGTGGTATTCCTGTGGTACTGCCAGACTGAAAATTACTACTGAGGATTACCAGGATTACCACAGCACTGCCTAATGTACAATATAATGAGAATATAACAATATATGAGAGAATATAAGTTAAAAGCTCATTTGCAGAAAACATGCTATGATTAAAACAACATTGATCTATTTTCAAATGTCCAATTGTAACCAGAGACAACAAGCTAGGAACCAAGAGAAAACAACTTTGAGCTAATAGGAAGTGAATGTACTTAACAGCTAACCTGAGTACTTTAGAGATCACATACCACCAAAACTTAATGCAGAAAAAGCACCTGGTTCACTCTCTTCAACATCTACACTTCTGTTTATTTTCTTAAGCAGATCAGGGCTGCCCAAAGTTAGACTTTTAATTTGTATAACTTTCTAAATTATTATCTCCAGTATTTGGAAAACACGAACAATAATAAACAAATGTATTTGAGTAGTAATATATAAAGACCTGTATTGTTTCACCACGTAAAATTACATAATAAACAGATTTTTGTTATGTATTTCAAGGGTTTGCAGTTTTCTACTCTGTGTCTGGATTAAACAAACAAACAAACAGAAACAAAACCGCACAGTTCATTCAGTACAGAGAGGCGCGAACCGGGAGAAAAGCTCTATGGGAGGACAAACAAAAGACTGGCGGGAGTTTAGACCAATCAGAGCGCGGGACTCCGCCGCTTGGACGTTCGGTTTTGAAGCGCGAGCGCTCTCCGCCGTTCCTCCGTTTAAAGCCGAGCGCGACCGTTACAGCCGTTACAGTGAGCGGGTCTCTCAGGTCGCTACCGCGGGCAGTTTATCGAGTTTAGCGAGTGTTAAACCTGATAAGACTCTCTTACACTCCTTACTGAGACAGCGCCGCCTGCCGGGTGACGCTTTCAGCTCCCAGAAACGAGGATTTTCAGCTGCGTAGCTGACTAAAGTTAGCTTAACTGACTGGACCGAGCGGAGCGGAGATTGGAGTCCCGACTGGAGTCCCGACTGCAGCGGTCAGACTCTGCTTTTAAAAGGTGAGTAGTGACCGAATGAGATGAGCAGCCTCACTGACAGTCAGCTGGAGTAAACTTTTGTTTCTGTATTTCTGGGTTGATCTGCCGAGTGAAGACACCAGCGGTAGGCTAGCGTATGTAGTTAGCTAGCTAGCGGCTAAGCGGCGTGTCTGTTTACGCCTCGCGGCTGCGTCAGATCTCGCTTAGCACGCGCTCCAAATGAAAGACTGCCTCAGAAATAAACCTAAGACTGAACACAGCGCAGCAGGGTCAGCGCACTGATCACAGTGCAGCAGGGTCAGCGCACTGATCACAGCGCAGCAGGGTCAGCGCAGCAGGGTCAGCGCACTGATCACAGTGCAACAGGGTCAGCGCACTGATCACAGCGCAGCAGGGTCAGCGCAGCAGGGTCAGCGCACTGAGCACAGTGCAGCAGGGTCAGCGCACTGATCACAGCGCAGCAGGGTCAGCGCACTGATCAACAGCGCGGCAGGGTCAGCGCACTGAACACAGCGCGGCAGGGTCAGCGCGCTGATCACAGCGCGGCAGGGTCAGCGCGCTGATCAACAGTGCGGCAGGGTCAGCGCGCTGATCAACAGTGCGGCAGGGTCAGCGCGCTGATCACAGTGCGGCAGGGTCAGCGCGCTGATCACAGTGCGGCAGGGTCAGCGCACTGAACAATACAGCAATGAGACTAAACACAGTCCGTCAGTCTGTGTAGCTCAGAGAGGGTAGAAATAATTTTAATTTGCTCAGTTACATTTACTCCAGTAACGTCTCGGTGGATTTGTACTTTCTAGAGTATTTTTAAAATGTATTATCTGTGCTTTAGATGTTTTACTGGGCTACATTTATTAGTAATATATAATGACCAGTTTGTTTTGTGTGTTTCATTGTTATGCCTTACTGTTGTTGTTTTGCTGCATTTACCTCATGTGTCTGTTTTGTTTTAGATGTTTCTCATCAGAAATCATCTGAAGCTGAGCAACTGGTGAGACTCAAGTTTTAATTTTTTAAATGAAACTATATGAATGTCAGACAGATGTTTAGATTTGGTGGATATTTCAAACAAATATAATTCATGAAGTATTTATGGTAATACAGAAGAGCAGAATGTTTAGGTAAAGCTGGGTTACAGTATTCAAATATCTGCGCTTTGTTCATTCAATTTTTAAAACATTAAGGGTTAATTACTATAAAAAGGTATTTAAAAGCACTGAATTAAATTTTTAAATTTTGCTGCAACACTGTATTACAAAATAGTTGCATAAGAGTCTTCCCTCATACTACCACCATGTTGAAGGCATGGTATGAACGCACAAATAAACTTATCATATCACTGATTCCATAAACTTTTCTAATGCAACAGAAACATTTAAAGGAGAATTCCACATTTTTCTAAACTTGGCATAATTCTGTCATTGCGATGTAAACAAAATCATTTAGTGGTTTCATATAAAATGGCTTATTGTAGAGAAAGCTACAGACTGGGAACCATGTGCCTATTATTATTATTATTATTACTTTTGTTGTTAAATTTGTTCTGAAATGTATAAATGTAGTATGTACTAATGTATGTAATGTTTGTATGTTTATAAAATGATATGCAATATATTAAAATAAATGATACCATTATGCATCCTACATAGAACAAAAAAATGAAAAAAAAAATAATTACTATAATTTTAGCTATAAATAATGTTACATTTTAAAATTCCCTTAAAATATTTAAAAGTAAAAGATTTATTTAAAAAAATGTAGGTAAAATTTAAAAATATGTATTATGCATCCTACATCTTGAGACGTCTTGAGATGTTATTATTGCCAAGACATCTTAAGATCCGTGTCTATAGACACGTCTTAAAGACATGTCTTCATGTCTTAAGACATGCCTCAAGATGTCCTAAGACGTCTTCATAATGTGTCTTTAGACATGTCTTAAGACATCTCAAGACATGGTGATGGCTGGGTATGTTGTTTTCTTCTTCCACCTCTGAGAAACTGCATTTAAAGCCCACACTCCCCATGTGAAATCTTCTATATTTTGAAAAAATCACTGTCATTTGTAGGAGTTCATACTATAGTACTATCACTTTACATTAGTATGTAGTATAGCTAGAACCAGTTCCTTTTACACAGGCAATAACAATCACTCACATGTGTTAAAAAAAGGATCATCAGTCAGCGGAACTCCTTCAGCAGTGAATAAACACACAGACATCGGAGTACCCATCACGTTCTCCTGATGGCAAATCCTCAGCATGAGATCCTCCACAGTGTTCTGGTTAGGGTCCATTCCTGTTCATATCAAAATCACAGAGACATATAGATCTGTTTCTAACTTTTGCAGGTATACAATATAATACCACTAGTTAACATTTTATAGTTGCTCAATAACAATAATTACTTCATTGGAAGTCTTTTCTTTATGTCTGTGAGGAATCTATATTTACCTGTGATTTCCCTGTACTCTTGACATCCTGGGAATGTGTAATACACCTGATACACTTGAAGTGATTTCATCACCTGAAATCCTGTTGCTGTGCCAAGTCTTTTAATGAACTCTGTCAATTGACTGAACCTGTTTTTCTCAACTTGACTGAACCCTTTTGGAGACAAAAGCAGAATTGCAGTGTAGCAAAAAGGAAGACAGAAATTTAAGGTTATACTCTGTATTTTTTTCATTTAGATATTTATTTTGTTATTGGGTCTAAGAAGGAACTGCAAAACTGATAATTTAATTATACAGTGAAATTCACTGCTTGTGTGTATAACAGTAAAGATCTTGACTTGGTTTGTCTTGTTGAAACATGCTGTACTCTATATAAGAACAGAAATGTTTACAAATACAGGTAACATGTTTGACACACAATGTTTTATACATACATCAATATAATTTCTGTCATAGATTCCATTCATACCCATATCTTCCAGGTTTTTTTCAGTGATGCTGTCCAAGAAGTCCTCTTCAGTTTCAACTCCCAGCTCAACAAATTTGCAGTAGAACTTTTCCAGTCTGTATTTTTGAAGTAAGTGGAATATTTTCTGCTTCTCCATCTCTGATCTCACAAACATACACAATACACAAGCACAGACACTGAAAATCTACCAAAACATGACCATATTCAGCATAAGAGATGGATCAGATATAAAATGATGGCAGGATGGATAATGGTTATAAGATTATTGCTAAAACTTAGTATGATAAAGTTTATTTTAAACACTGTTCCACCATGAAAACACAAAGCTAACCATATTTGATGTTCAGAATACTAGTGTTCTTGTTGAAAACAGTATGGTTTACACAGGTCACAAAAATGTCTCAATAACTTTTCAGATATCACCACACACAAACAACATACACCAAACATATTATGCAGTTGGTTTTCAGTAAAACTTTAAACAATGTCATGACTTGCAAAATATAAACAGGTTAAGAAATATATTTAAAAATGACTAACATTGATTTACAATGTTTATTCAGTATTTCTCTGTATTTTGCCTGTGAAGATTTCTACAGTACAGTATTGTCAGGTCCATGATTGGCCACATGGGGGTGCTTTTCACTATGTAAGTGGAAGATAAGGTACAGCCAGGAGGTGTTCAGGTCTCTTGACCTGAAATTACAACTTGTCCAGACCAACTTGACCCTTCACTGTGACAACTTCTTTTTTAGACTTTAATAAGCACCTTTTCTTTTGGATTACCCTTTTCTCCTATGTTGAACAGAAAGTTAGGGAAGTCTGTGTATTTCTGTTTCTTTTTTTCAGGTTCAGTTAGCTGTTAAAACCCTAAGTTGTTTTGATTGTTATTTCAGTCACAAGCTTGTCTCTGAAGTCGCATTTCCAAATGGCCCAAGGACATTTTGCCACTGAGTCTTTTAAACATAAATCTATGGTGTTTCATACAGTCACATTGTGTTCAGTGTTTGATCTGGTGCCAGGTCTAGGGACAGACCAGGTCTTAACACATGTTCATCATAAGAGATAAGTCACCTTTATCTGCTGGCATACTGATAATTGAAAAGTTTGGTTTCATGTTAGTGTACAGGAAAATTTTGTCTTTTTTCAGAAAATGTAGACCCATGTGGGGGTGTTATTATTTAAAGACGTTCACCATAGCAAAAAAACTTAGGCTTTGGTACAGGGCTAAATTATTTATATTAAATTTTTCTTGTGGTCCCCAGCTGCAGACCTGGAGGGCTTTAATCCAGCTCAGCCATTTCCATTCTCTAAAACACAATTTATCTTATCTGCCCTTTATAATTGCTGCTAAGTTTCTGTTTCTCAGAAAAGGTGGAGCCCCTCCCTGTAGTGGCTCTGAAAGTCAGTTTCACATTCAGATCATTCTGAGCAACAACAGGGGCATTGTAGCAAATAATCCTCAGGACAGGAAAGACTCCCGTCTTTAGTGCCCAGAGTCTAGGACAGTTTCCCATAATTGTGTCTAAGTGTGTGTGTGTGTGTGTGTGTGTGTGTGTGTCAACAAATTGCAATACGTTTCTTCTGTGGGTGCCTAGTTCAGTGTCTTTACCACAGAGAGCCAGTGTCACTGCAGCTTATGTAGTTTAGTGGGTTCAGTGTTCAACAGTTGATCATGTGAACTCCTGTTTTGTTAGAATTCAAACCAGTCACACCAGCCCTTGTGGCACATCAAATATAAAACTTAAAGTGACTATAAGTGTGTTATAGCATGAAAATTACCATTCTGTGCCAGACTAAAACTAAAAACGCATAAAACATTAGGGTGCCACATTTAGGATCAACACTTTTTCAGCAAATTCTGCTGTGCTCTGTACTTTCACTCAAACTCTTCAACTTTACTCAGCAGATAGCAAGTTATTCATTATCTACATGTTAAGAAATTCACTCAATATCATTACTAGACTGATTTGATCTCTATTTATAAACAAAATTAAATGAATTAGACTTACTCCAGTCAGAAAATTCAACTCCACAGACGGGGCATCAAAATCAGCTTCAGTGATCTGTTTGAAAGTGAAAGCTTCAGGCTCTTTATTACACTGCTAGGTTTCTCTTTCTCTGAAAAAGTAGAGCTCCGCCTTATCCCGGCTCCACCTTGTAACAGCACTGTCAAACAGTTTGATCGGAGAGATAAGAAGTCACAAGCAAAGCACAAAGCACATATGTGATCCTGTTATATTTTAAGTTTCCAATACGCTCTCTTCCTCAGTCTCATTCCAGCAGTACTTACTTGGCACATCCACTCTGCCTCCATTTGTATGTTCACATAGAGGGTTCATACTGAGGACAATCTCAGACTAGTTATTTACAAGGAGTGGACAAGAGATAAAGATTACAAATGTGATTGTACTTTATTTTTGTGCTTAATTATTAATTTGCAAGAATTACTTATCTATAGCTGATACTTCAGTTGGTGGGTGGCATTATTAGATTATAAAAGTGTACAACATTACTGGAATGGAAAAACACATAATTGGCATTTTGAACAAAAACCTTCGCTTCCAAGATCACGTTAGCCAGTAATTAGCTCTGCTGAGTGTTTCAGGATTTGTATTTCTTTTCAGGATGTAACTGCCATGAAAAAAATGCCATTTTATTTATCTCAATTACTTAGTATTCATTTTTATACCACTGCTCCTTCTCTTTATTCATTCTTTAACGCTCTCAATCTCTTATGCACTGCTTGTTTTTGGATGTGAAAAATGTCTTTTTTTTGTTATAAAGTGTGTGTGACAGTCATGTATATTTCATCTCTTAATTCTTAATGGAGCTGCAAGCAATGATTACCTTTATTTTTATTTATTCTGAAGGTTATTTAATTATTTTAGCAAAAGTCAGAAAATAGCTACATTTCAATTGCAGTTTTGTAAAACCTAGACTCAATTTTTTTTTTTCTCACCAAGACCCAAAAAAAAATCAGTTCACTGTTTTTACAAAACAATGTAGTAAATTCTTTCAGTTTGGAAGCTCAAACATAGGAATGTATTTTTTTATTCTTGGAAGTGAATTCACTATTAAGGCATTTTCTTACCTGTTTTGCCCACTATTTTTTCTGATCTAATTCCTGATTTTTAAAATGTTGTAATTGGTTTTCATTGTTCTTTGTAGAGATGGTTAACAGCTTAAATGCAGTTTTGAGTGTAAAAACACTTAAAATATGTTCCACTCTCTCCGTCTCATTCTATATATAATAAGATTGTGCAGACAGCTTTGAGAAAATTTGATTCACCTACATTTTAAGAACATGCAATTATTATTTTTTTTTTCTTGACAGATTTCTTTAACGTTTCTTGAAGTGGAAATGTAAGTTTCATTATTACAGCACTACATAGAGCGTCATGGGCATTATCGAAGGTGTTCAGGCCTCATCTGTATTCACAAAGACTGCTTGAACACTTTTCAAACCCAAGCAGAACTTAAAATTCATTTGAAAGAACATATAAAAGAAGCTTATAGGATTGTAACAAAATTATCCTGTGATTTGTGTGTATTCTCAGAGCCTAGTGACATTAACAAATACTTCACTCATCTGAAGACTCGTTTGAGAAACAGAGAGGTTCTTAAATGTCCATTTGCAGGTTGCTCTTTCAGGTCTAGTGTGCTGTTGACTTTTACTGCTCATAGAAGTCGCAATCATAAGTTTTCCACCTTAGAAAATTTCACACCAGAACTTTTGGCACAGCATACTCTTTCAGTACCTGTAATAGAAGAGGATTTTGTTTCAGACACTAAAGATATTCTTGCTGATTCTGTATCAGAGGCTGAATCTGGTCTTGAAAATGGAAAATCCATTCAGCATCAATTGGGAACTCTGTTTCTCCGCATGCAAACACATTTGCACATATTAAATTCAGCAGTACAGGAAATAATTGATGCGTTATTTGAAGAATTTGCTGATCAAAATATAAAGACAGTCATTGATAAAGTTCTATGATTGCATAACTGATGCCTCTGTTATAGCTTCATTGACTGAACAACTACAAACTTTGAACCCCCTCAAACTGCTCTCAAAGGTATATGGTATACATTGGGTGATTGCTAATTTACCCATACAATTTCAACATTATCATCAATTTATCTAGCTGTGTTGTGCAAAACTGTAGATAAAAGAACATAAAAGAATATGGTTACAGCAAGGTTCTAGAGCCCCTAATTAGGGATCTTGAGCTCCTCGAGAGTGTTTTACATTGAATGACCTTAATGGTAGAATAACAACTTTCCCCTTTCAATTCTGTGACAAAACTAACAGACCTCAGATAATACAAACAAACTTTCAAAAAAATAGAACTATAGGTGGCAAAGGGCATGAGAACTGGGCGCTTCTGAGATGTCTTTCGCTGTTGGTTGGCCACCTCATTCCAGAGGGTGAAAAGACTTGGCATATAATTCTTGAATTAAAAGACATTGTTGAGTTGTTATCCAGCCCCTCATTCACAACAGAAACCCTGTGCTACCTACAAGCCAAAATCTCAGACCACAGACAGTTGCTTTTAGATGGTTTTCATTGTATTAAATTGCGCCCTAAACATCAACATCTGGAACATTACCCTATGCTAAGCTGGTCCCCAAATTGAATTTTGGACAATAAGATTTGAGGCTAAACATTCTTTCTTTAAAAAGTGGTTCATGATGCTGGTAACTTAAATATTCTGCACACATTGGCCCCAAGACTTCAACTAATGTTGGCATACTATTTGGAGATGCCAAGTGTTTTCAAACCAAGCATCACAACTGGGCGGATATCTGTTGTATCTGTGGACATCTTGGATGCTGATATCTGTGTGGCTATATTGAACAAGTTTAAAGCTCTGGACTCTGTTTCACTCACCTCCACTGCTTACTTAAATGGGACAAAATATTCCAAAGGAATGGTGCTCTCTGTTGGGCACACAAGTGGACTACCAGATTTTGGAAGAGTGCTTGAGATTTGTTTAGTGGATGGCAGCATATTTTTCATTATTGAAATGTTCACAGCTGGCTTCGTGGAGCATCTAAGGTGTTACCAGCTTGCTAAAAAGACCCTGCAGTAACTGTGGTTATTGATCCTGACCAGCTGAATGACTACATCCCTTTGGCTGCATACCATGTTGACGGAAAGCTGCTCATTACTCCGAGGACATTCATGATACAGTAAAACACATATCTGCTTGCTTTTAAAATTCCTCTTATTTTTACTGTTTTACTTTTGTTAACTCACTACTACCCTAGTCACACAACACATTTATAAATGAATCTTTTAGCCAACTGTGTCTGAACACATTGGAATTAGACCTCCGCACTAGTGAGCACACACACCCTAGGGGGCAGTGCCCACACTTGCCCGGAGCAGTGGGCAGCCCTATCCACAGCGCCCGGGGAGCAGTTGGGGTTGGGCGTCTTGCTCAAAGGCACTACAGTCACGCACTGTCAGCCGAGGGGATCGAACCGGCAACCTTCCGGTCACAAGGCTGGTTCCCTAACCTCCAGCCCACGACTGCCCCCTAACTGAAGACCATGCACCTCACTCATGGTACAATTTCATTCTATGCTGCTTCTAATGTTTCAGCTTTGTGTGTGTGTCACCCTGTTCAGCTGTTGGTGCCTCAAAGATGCTCCTCAGAGTTATTGTGTCACCTCAAGAGATAAGGCGTGTCACCCTGGAGTGTGTTCCTAAGTCAGTGAAGGAGCTATGCGAAGCACTGCACACCAGTCTGTGCTTGCAAGGAAACTTCATTCTACAGTTTGAAGATCCAGACTTTGGAAATGAGCTCTGCAATTTGAGAGATATCAAAGATCTACCAACCGATTGAGTGACATTTAAAGGTTTGTTCACATTTTCTGATTCAGTTTCTGACTCAACATCAGATACTTCAAGCTCAAGTAGTTCTTCCTCAGTTGAATGGCCTAATTCTTTTGTTATTCCTGATTTCTCCCATGATGTTGAACTTCAGCTGAGTGTAGCATATGATGCCTATGCCAAGGACGGAACAGTGATGTTCATCTCCAAGGGCGTTAAGAGTGAAATACTGGACAAACTAGCTGATATTATATTCAAAATCACTCCCTATCCAAATAAAGACCATTATGAAATTGTAACCACAGCTCTTGTAGAAAAGCACTCTTGTCTCAGAGAGCCGGGTTCCACCAAAGGATGGTATTGCTGGGTATTCAGCTTGAAATTCAAGATGGGCAATTACCATCAGAGACTGATGGCAGCTGGATGCCCTGAGGTTGTTGTAAATGAGAGAAAAAAGGGACAGGCAAACAGCAAAGCAATCAAGAAGTCAAAGAAGGGAGAGATCCACTTCTTGCCAGATCCACCCAATGGTCAAAGTAAATCAATCAATCAATCAGTCTTTATTTAATCTCGGAGAACATTGAGGGTGCCCCTCATTTACAATGTTGCTGAGTTAATACAGAGTAAGGGATTGATAATGTGTAAGAACATATCAAATAATAAAAGTCAATTTAATAAATGAAGACTCAGATCGGCTAAGTATAAAAAGGGAAACATTAATAATAAAAATACATAAAAATCTAATAAAAAATAATAAAACAGTAATTAAAACATACATAAATTGTAAAGGTGAATGAAATCAAATCAAATCAAAATAAAACAAGAGGAAGATAAGATAAAAAAATACTAATAAACAAATTTATTAAAATGTGAAATAGTAATAAAATAAGAATATGAATAATAATGGATAAGATAACAAATAAATAATAAAATCATGAAAATATAAAAAATCAGGTAAAACAGTGTGAGGCAGAGTGGAGGTGGTCAGAGAGTAGAAGTTTAAAATAACTGAGTGACCCAGAGAGCTGAGCGGTAGTGTTTCCTGTAGTGAGGGTCCAGTTCGCTGGTGCTCTGGAACTAAAGGCAGATTTTCCCAGTTCAGTAAAAACCCTCAGTACCTGCCATGTGATCCAGCCACTGGAGCGAGTCTGATAAACACCAGTATTTACAGACATCACTGAAGTAATATATTCTGGCATATAGCCGTAGAGTGTTTTATCAATAAATATAAACCAGTGTGTTTCCCGCTGCGCTGCTAGTGAGGGCCATTCAGTTTG